ACCTGCAGCTGATCCGTGTCACATCTTTATTTATTTATTTATTTATTTATTTATTTATTTATTTATTTATTTATTTATTTAATCTTTTAGTCTTTGATTCTTCTGCCAGCTCACTGTTTCTCTGTTTGAAAGGCGCTGCTCGCCTCCACAAACAGCTTTATTACAAAAAAACACATAAAATATTAACATTTGACACATTTCAAACATCTCTCCACATGAAAGCTGCTTTTTGATTTCAGCCTTTTGTAATTGTTTTGTAATTTTAAAACACAAGAAGTTTGTAATTTAAGTTTTTCATGCTGTAGTTTATTTTATTTTTTACCTCGCCTGGTTTGTTTAAAGAATTTCAGGGAAAATATTGAAGCCTTTTAGATTTAAAACCTGCTGATGGTCTGTTAGCTGTCTTATGTTCTGCTTTTAGCGTGCGTTTTTCTGAATTAGCTTTTAGCTCAGGTTGTACTTTTGACTTTTAGCTTGTGCTTTTCTTCTTTAGGGTTTAGCTACTGTTCTGATTCTAGCTTATGCTGTACTTCTGTTAGCTCTGTCTTAGCATTTAGCTTCTTTCATGTTTTAGCTTTTGTTTAATTTCTTTTAGCTTTTAGCTTATGTTTTGTTCTTAGCTAGGGTTCAGCTATTGTTAGCTCTTGGCTAGTATGTTGCTTCTATTAGATTTTAGCTGGTGTTTTGCTAGACAAACCTGATCAGTGCATCCCTAAGAAAAACCTCTAGTTTTGTTTGTTTTGAATTGAATGAATGGATGGATGGATGGATGGATGGATGGATGGATGGATGGATGGATGGATGGATGAGACCTGCATCCAATCAGATCACAGATTTAATAAAAATGATTTTGGCCACATCAGACTGAAGTTCTGGATGTTTTCCAGGCTCATCGGATCCTGCAGGCCCTCAGACGCTACGTCCGAGCGGAGAACAAGGACCGGCAGCACACCATCCGTCACTACCAGCACGTTCTGGCTGTGGATCCTGAAAAAGCTGCTCAGATGAAGTCACAGGTCGGTGTTTGAACAAACTGATAAATACTGTTCAGAAATCAAAACGTTCAGAGCTGAAAGTTTGACACGTTAGTTTTAAACACGAAAGAAAAATAAACAAATCCTCCTCCTCGTCGTCTTCATTGGGCTCAGACGGAGGAAGGATGCTGAAGTCTCGGCCCGCTCCTCCCTGTGTGGGAGGCAGAACCGGAGCCGAGGCCCGGCAGGAGCCAGCCGGTCCGACTGAGGCGGGGAGGGGGCGTCGCCCGAGTCTCGGACCAAGATTAACGACCCGGTTCAGTTCTCCTCCTGGGACGGGTTGAATCGTTAAACTTACAGGAAGTGATGTAACCAAATTCAAGATGGCCGCCGCGGCTAGTCAACACAAAAAAAGTGGTTTGATTTTTCAGCTCTAAGTTGTGGTGGTAGTAGCTGAGGGTCGTCTCCAACTTACCATCAGAACACTACAGATCCATAACTGTTGGAGTTGATGTCGATTGTCTGTTAGCAAAATATCTCATGAACCGCAGGGTACATTTTATAACTTTCAGGAATTAATCACTAGACCTGGAGTTTATCTAATTCAAAATGTCCGCCACAGTCAGTGGAAGGTAGAAAGCTACACAAATAGATTGAAATCAGTCGGTTTTGCAGAAACTGAGCCGAGGTTTGGTGTGGTAGTAGCTGAGAGTCATCCTCAGTGCATCACGTTATCTTCGGGGTTTCACCTGAACAGCTTCATGTCAAAGAATGTTGAGGATTTATTGTCTTTTTAAACCTTTTTTTCTTCATAAAGAGGGTTGTTTGTTGACAGATTTGTGAATTACTGCCCCCTGTTGGTGCTTCAGGTGAACTGCAGCCAGGTGATGTTCATCTGTAAACAAAACCAACTGGTGATGTTGGGGAAAATAGATGTTTTTTTAAATCAGGCAGTGATGTTCTTTCAGGTCCATCATGTGGCATCCATCTTCAATTTTAAATCGAGATGTTTCAGCTAAAAGATAAATATATAAATGTTTGTATTTTTTGTGTTTTTCCATCCACCAGGTGATGACCCACCTGCGGGTGATCGAGGAGAGGATGAACCAGAGTCTGTCTCTGCTCTACAAAGTCCCGTACGTGGCCGAGGAGATCCAGGACGAAATCGGTGAGTCACGTTCTGTCGAGGACCCCTCGGGCACATCTCAGGACGCCTCTGTCTGGTTTGAACCCGTCTCAGATTAAATAAAAATGTTTTGTTTTTTTATGAAGTATAAGATGAGACAAAAGATCTCTGGCCTGAATTCAAAAAGAAAAAGTAAAATTCAGACTCCTCGCCTCGTTTTCAGTCTCCTGTTTTTCCAAAACGTTCAACGTGTTTTAATTTTTTCCTCACTGAACATCGGATCCTGTGACAGAACTGGGCCACGGCTTTCATTGAGCTCGGCTCGGCTGGGACCAGAGTTTTAGTCAGGGAGGATAAAAACAAAGCTTTTAGAAAAACAGTAATTAGCAGAAACAGGAGCTGTCAGGTGTGTTCAGGCGCTGCAGCTCTGGTTTTTAAAGATTAAAAACTTCCTCAGTGTTGAAAGTGTTCTCGCTCAGCTTTGATGTTTTATTTGTTTGTTTCTTTAGAATTAGAAAAAAATATATTTTTAACTTTTGTTTTTAATTTGCATAAAAAACTCTTCAAGGTGAAACAATCTGAGATCGTTTTGATCAAATTGTGGGTAAATTTTACTTGAAATCTGCAAAATCTGCTGATTTTTAGCCATTTTTGTTCGTTAAAGTCACAAAACTGTGGCGTCCATCTTTAATCCAGTCGTTTCTAAAAGTTTATTAGTTCCACACACTCAGATAACGATTATTTAATTTTTTTTATATTCATAGCTGCAGTAGAAAAACATGTTTTTAGCTGTTTTCTTGTCCAGTTTTTCTTTAATATCCCAGACAGAATCGTAAAGTAAATTTCATCAATTTAACTTCAGTTTGAGCTTCAAAATCCACCAGAAAATTCTACATTTTCATCATATTTGGGGCAGTTTGTTTAAACTGGATGAATTTAGAATTAAAACCTAAAATTATTCTGCAATAAATTCAATAAGTCACAACAAATTATCCTAAATATCTTCACTAATAATTAATTAGGATGCCAGTAAAAACTTTAGATAAAAACTTGTGGGTGTGTCTGCTTTAGACTCTGAAGGTTCTGTAGAACCCAGATGCTGACGGGTGTCTCCTCTCCCCTGCAGACGAGCTGCTCCAGGAGCAGAAGGCCGACATGGACCAGTTCCTGTCCTCCATCTCCGAGTCGCAGCCGGACGTCACCGTGTCATCGTCGGAGGAGGAGGAGAGCGTGGAGGTCCCTGCATCAGAGGCCAAACAGTACCGGCCCATCAAAGTCACGTCGCTGGGGTCTCACAACGAGCCTGAAGGTACGCCGCCGCAGACACCGGGTTAAACCAGGTCCAGGTGTGCCACAGAGCTTTACTCTCCTCCTTAGCTCAGATAATATGACGAGTTATTAGAGCCAAATTAAGAGTATAGCTCAACCAGCGTTGGCTACGTCCTTGTAGCAGGAGGCTGTATCTATTCCAAAACCAGATACTGATTAATGATAAACCTGCACTGGTAACTAACGAGGAAACTACTTATAGTTGTTAGCATTGGAGAGGCTTAGGGACTAGCATGCCTAGGTTAACACTGGCCTTGGATAGGCAGGCATTAGCCTTGGAGAAGTTGATTTTAGCATTGATAGACTAGCTTTAGATGGGCTTTAGCTTTGACAAGCTGGCATTAGCAATAGCATGGATAGACTGGCTTTAGCATTGGATAAGTTGGCTTTAGCATTGGAGAAGTTGGCTTTAGCATTGGATAAGTTGGCTTTAGCATTGGATGGACTGGCTTCAGCATTGGATAAGTTGACTTTAGCATTGGATAAGTTGACTTTAGCATCGGAAAGACTGGCTTTAGCATTGGAAAGACTGGATTTAGCGCTGGATAGACTGGATTTAGCATTGATAGGCTGGCTTTAGCATTGGATAGGTTGACTTTAGCATTGGCTAGACTGACTTTAGCATTGGATAAGTTGGCTTTAGCATTGGATAGGTTGACTTTAGCATTGGCTAGACTGACTTTAGCATTGGATAAGTTGGCTTTAGCATTGGATAGACTGGCATTGGATTTATCTTTGCAAAAACTGGCTTTAGCATTGGATAAGTTGGCTTTAGCATCGATAAACTGGCTTTAGCATTGGTTAGACTGGCTTTAGCATTGGCTAAATAGGCTTTAGCATTGGAAAGACTGGCTTTAGCTTTGGATAGACTGGATTTAGCATTGATAGGCTGGCTTTAGCATTGATAGGCTGGCTTTACCATTGGCTAAGTTGGCTTTAGCATTGGCTAAGTTGGCTTTAGCATTGGCTAAGTTGGCTTTAGCGTTGGAAGGACTGGCTTTAGCTTTGGATAGACTGGATTTAACATTGATAGGCTGGCTTTAGTATTGGATAGGTTGACTTTAGCATTGATAGGCTGGCTTTAGCAGTGGAGAGACTAACATCTAGAATGCCTAAACTAATCCAATGCTAAGGCCAGCTTGTCCAACGCTAACGCCAGCCTTTTCATGCCAATGGATAGCAGAGGAAGTAGCCAGTCGAGATGACCAGCCTTGGTATGCCAGTCACTAGCCTCTCCAAAGCTAACAGATATGAGTAGTCTCCTTCTCATTTGCCAGTGCTGGCCTGTCGTTAATCAGATCAGTAGCTGGCTTTGGAGTAGAAACAGCCTCCTGCTACAAGGATGAGTGGTCTTAATTTTGTCTCTCATACCTCGCCTTAAGATGAAATTGGAGACAGTTGCTTCTGGCGGGAAGTCAAATGAAGCAGTTTTCTTTCTGTTCCTCATCACATTTATTCCAAACAAAAGACTCTGAAAGGAGAAAGATGCTTAAAAATTTGCAGACAGAAGGAAAAACTATGATCAAAGCTGCACAGAAGAGTTTCAGATCCCACAGGACTCAGACAGGAAGTCAGAATCAGCTCCGTTTTTATTTATTTATTTATTTATTTATTTATTTATTTATTTTCTCCCAGCTGAACTCTTTAATCGATTAACAGCTTGATGATCCTGCCTTTTCTCTTCTTACCTCAGTTTTCTCCCTTTTCTGATTTTTCTGTTGCTCATTTCCAAGGCGATCTGTCAGATTCCCCTCGAGGCTTCAAGAAAGGTTGGTGCCTCTGTTGGGTCTTCTCTCCACCTTCCACCCTCATCAATTTTACGTTCAGCTCCCCCCTCTGCCTTTGACCCTCGCTCTGCTGCCATCTTTGTTTCATTACTAACATTTTAAACCTGTTTTTTTTTATCCTTTTTATCCTCTCATCCTGAATAGAAAAGCAGGTTTTTAGGTCCTAAAGAGTGAGAAGCTTCTCCCTCGCCCCGCTCTCAGACAGATTCTTGTTGGCGGCCATCTTGTCCTCCTTCACAGATTTAGCTTTGATCTTTTACTGTTTTAACTTTGATGTTTTGGTCGAACTTTTAAAATCTCAGCTACTACCACACTAAATTTGACCTCAACATCTATAAAACTGCCCTGATTGTAGCCACTTTTGTGTTTTTTAATTCAGTTAGCTGTGGCAGCCATTTTAAGTTGAACAAGCTAAAGTTGTTAATCAGTTACAGTCGTTCATTCAGCGATTATTACCTGGAAGTTTCATTAAAATACGTCAAGCGGTTCTTGAAATATTTTGCTAACAGACATACGGAGTTGACTCCAAATAGTTAGCAGCAAAAATTTAAGTGAGGCCATTGCGCGATGTGTTCTTGCTCGGAATATATTTTGAGGATCATCATCAGCCACTACCATGCCAAATTTCAGCTCATTGTCTGTAAAACTGACTGAGCTTTAGCCACATTATTGTTTCGTACAATTGGTTAGCTGCGGCGGCCATTTTGATTTGAGTTTACTCCAAATTTAAATCATTTGTAGACGCATATATAATGATTTTACCTTGAAAGTTTTATTGAATTTTGTGTTGTTGTTCTTGAGATATTTTGCTAACAGACACAGGCTAAAAAAAACACATTATTGTTAGCCTTGACCTTTGTTTGTGCTTCACCAAGTAGAAACATTGTTCGTTCGTTGACGGTGAATCTCAGCAGTTTATTTATTTATTTATTTACAGAACAGCGGTGTTGTGTTCGCAGAGCTCCGTCTGTGCTGAACAGAAGAAAAGGGTTTTGTTTTCAGTCCGAGCTGTGAAGAAAGAGCGTATCTGTGCAGCTGTTCACCACCAACACCACCATCCCTGTTTGTCTGTGTGTTTGTGTGTGTGTGTGTGTGTGTGTGTGTGTTTGTTCAGTCTTATCTGCTCCTTTCTGACCGAGCTGCTGCTTCTCCCTCCTCCAGGCTCCGCCATGGCTGGTCTGGACGGTCTGATCGGCGCCGAGGAGAGGATCATCAACGCCAAACCCAAAACCGAGGAAAACGTGGTGAGTCCTCAGCCGCCGCCGGGGTTTCAGTTAACCGGAGATGAACGAGTTCGCCGCGGCGTTCTCTTCATTTTTCAGTAACTATGTTGACATAGTTACGGCTGTCTGTGTGCAGCTTCCTCCTGCTGATCCGCCGCCGCTGCAGCGCTCCTCTCGCCCGTCACCGCATGTCACTTCCCCTCTCCCTCATGGGGTTTCAGTCGATGTGTTGTTGTGCATGCAGAAGCTGTGATTTGTGTGCATGAATGTGAGTGCACGTGTTTGTTTATTTCTCCTTAAGAAGGCTGTTTTTATGAGACGAAGCGATCTGACGCTGAAATTACCAGACATGGGGACTGAAAGTGTCGGCCGCTTAAATAATAATAAATATTTGTTTTATCTCTGAATAAAACCAACATCTGGAATCATTAAAAAAACTAATAATTGCTTGTTATGGATTAATTCAATTAAATTCAATTCAAAAATACTTTATTGATCCCAGACAAATTAGATAAAGCTGTTGGATCATTTTGATCAAATATTAAGTTAAATGTTTTGGTGTTTGGCTCAGAGATGAGTCGTTTTAAGCCAAAAGTCGACCAAATCAGACCCGAGTGGACTTCTGGTTAAATTTTTTACAAGTAAAAAAACGACAAAAACAACAGAAGAAGGTGATGTTTAACATGGTTGGCTTTGTTAACATCTAGTTTCTGTTAAACATCATGTTTCCTGAAGTAACATTAGTTGGTATTAGCTGAAGCTAACAGCAGTTAGCTCCTAGTTTTTATGTAGAATTCTAGTTTTTATTTACAGATCAGATATTAGAGGGAAATGTTTTACTCTAGATTTTATAGGGAAAGTGTTTATTATAGATTTTAGAGGGAAACGGTTATTATTTTAGATTTTAGAGGTAAACTGTTTTTATTCTAGATTTTAGAGGTTAACTGTGTTTTTATTCTAGATTTTAGAGGGAAACTGTGTTTTTATTCTAGATTTTAGAGGGAAACTGTGTTTTTATTATAGATTTTAGAGGTAAACTGTGTTTTTATTCTAGATTTTAGAGGTAAACTGTGTTTTAACCAAGTTTTTAGGTCTAAATGTAGTCTTATTGTAGTTGTCTAGGTGAAAGTCTTAACCCCGTACACATGGTTTACCTGATTACCTGATCCTGCTGAGGTAAAACTTGGCTCGATGCAAACTGAACTTGTTCCTGTGTTACAAACTGGGTTATTCTGAACTCATCAAGCTAAATGGTTTATAAAATAACAACTTAGCCCTATATGTGACAAAATTAAATAATTCATTTACAAAATAAAATTTGTAATCTGACCAACACTTTAGTCAGATTCAGAAAGAGGCAGGAGATCTTTCTTTCCTGAAGTTTTCTTTATTTCATCTGAATAAAAGCAAACAGATACAGATCACTAACTCGACAGAAATTAAAACGTTGCAGAAAATGTCCAGTAATTTGTCCCCGCCCTGTCCTCTGCGTTCTGTTCGTGTCCGGTCCGTCGGATCAGTTCTCTTCTGGTTTTAGTTTTACAAACAGATCATCTCCACTGCTGACACAGCAGGTTCTATCTGAATATCATTCCTGGAGTCGAGGTTTAGAGCCCAGTACTAAACGTATCAGAGAACCCAGCAGAATCCATCATCTGTGAAAAACTGCAAATAATTTAAAAAAAAAAACATTTTCAAATAGTCAATAAAACCAAACACAAACTGTAGGAAGGTTTTTACGTTGTCTCTTCACCAGCCTTAATGAATCTTTTGTGTCTGAAACTGAATGTGGACTGCTCCGTTTTCTACAAACAGCTGTTTTTTTGTTTTGTTTTTCTGCTTCTTTTCTCCTCCACTCAGCTCGTATTCATCTGATTAAAACTCTCAGTAACGAGACGTTTAGACAGAAGCTGAAAGAAAGTCTGACGATAATGATGATCGCTCCCCTCCTCCCTCTCTCCTCGCTGCACATTCACGCTCTCTTGCTCTCCTCTCCTTTGTGTCTCTGTTGTGGAAATAATTTCACACACACACACACACACACACACACACACACACACACACACACACACACACACACACAGGTTGTGGTGAGTGTAACCTGGACTCCCCTGTCTGTGTTGACAGGTGATTGATGAGTCTCTGGATGTTAAAGAAGTGGTTTACAGTGCTGAGAGAGTCAGCGTTATGCATGATGATGAGCTGGTGAGTACAGCGGCGCCCTCCTCTGGGCTCTCTGGGGAACTGCAGTTCACGGGGAGGAGGTGAAAGAAGAAGCTCTGTTTAATAAACCCCCCCAAATCCCTCCTCTTTTGTTTGTTTGTTTTGTTCAGGTTAAAACCTTTCTGCATGGGTGCATGTTTGTTATGTGGATGTATGTGGATGCACACGTTAGTAAAGCTCAGTTTACCTGATGAATGTGAATCCAAACAAACTGAGTTTGCTTGGTTTATGTGCAGGATTGAGCAGTGAAGAATCCCCCCCCTCCCCTGCTGTCCACATATGATCAGATTGTGTCATATGTGCCAGAATAAATCCTGTTCATGAGGTGGTCGTACATACGATCGGCTGCAACACTAAAACTGACTCCTGCGACGTGTTGAACGCTCAGTCAGATTCAGGGTTTAGAGGCTGAATCAACCATAAACACCTGATTATGGTGTAAACCAGAGAAACTGGTTGGTGTCACACTTTCATGCAGGAGCCAAGATTCTGAAACAGCTCAAAGAACGACTTTTCGTTGTACAGGTGCTGGTCATGAAATTAGAATATCATGAAAAAGTAGATTTATTTCAGTAATTCCATTTAAAAAGTGAAACTTGTYTATTATATTCATACATTACATACAAGCTCATAT